TTCTAGATAAGGGGTTCAAAGTGGACAAGATGGAGGAAATTGGGTGTGCCTTGTCCTTTTTCTCCTTCTTCATGCCCTCCATGTTTCACTGTGGTGTTGGCATTTTTCTGTTGGTTCAGGCTGGGGACACACTGTCCAACGTAGGTGACAGATATTGGCACGTTCTTGTAAATCCAGCCCAGGGAGTTTCTGGAATTTAATGTTTGTAACATCCCACTGAGGGCAGAGCCCCACACGCTGCCCTGCAGGACAGAGCTGGGCAGGGCAGCAGAACATGTGAGAGATAAACAGAATAAACAACCTGGAAACCAGCACAGACCAATTATGGCTTCTGCTTTGGCAGGGGGCTGAGAGACAGAGACTTTCTACAATCTCAGAATCATCAATACCTCTGATTCTGACAGGCTTTCAGTCAGGATCTCAGTGGAAACACGACCTCTTCCCATCTGCCTGTGGATCCCATTTCATGTAAGGTCCTCCACAGTTCCTAACTGGCCAGCCCCACATGGGTGAACCTCCTGGAGGAGGAATTACCCATATTTAGCCAGAGCATGGTCTCCACTCCCTGTAACACCTCTCGAACCTCGGAGCAAATCAGAAATACTTGTGACTGAGCAGCCTGCTCTCACAGATGTCCAAGCTCATTGCACGAGGTTGGACAAGATGACCTAAAGGTCCTTTCCAGCCCAAACCATCCTATGCCTGAGGAAGGAGACAGGAACATGGATTTCTTTGTGTGGCTAAGCCAACAAAAATGATAATGGGAAAGGATCTGCCTAGGCAGCCTCACTGCCAGGGGCAAAGATGGAAGTTTGTCCCCAGCTGCTGTGCTCTGCTCTAACCCCCAAAAGCCCAGATTAAACATCCACATTAGAAAGCACAGATAACCCTTGGTTACCACAGAGATCAGTGTCAGAATCCTGGGCATCAGTTAGGTGGTGAAATGGACAGAAAGTGTGGAATGGAGGATGGGAGCCTGCAGGGTATCAGGAGGAATTTCCTCTCTGGTTCTTGAGACTACTCCAAAGTACCAGTGATTTGTAAATGCAGGTGAACCCGGTGGGAGGAAATGCTGATGTCTGACTCCAGTTCAGAAGGCTGAATGATTTCTTTATTATAACTATACTATAACACATTATTATACTATTTAAAGGAGATACTAAAACTACAAACCTACTTTTTCTAACTACCAACTCTAATTCACACCTCATGACCCTCTCTGAGAGCCCAGCCCCAGGTGGGTTGGATTGGCCATCAGGCTCAAAGAATCCTCACCAGAATCCAATCAAGCACTCACTCCAGGTAAACAATTCTCCAAACACATTCCACGTAGGAAAATCAAGGAGCAGAAATAGAAATTGTTTTCTCTTTCTTTCTCTTTGTGCACCTCTATGAAAAATCCCGAGAGTGAAATGTGCTTGCCACACCAGTGGAAAAGGGCACAGGAATGAGAAAGGTGTAAATAAATACGTGTGACAGGCTGCAGACTGAGTTTTCAGAATGACTCCAGAGAATTTCCAGTTTTTGCTGCAGAAAGGAAGTCAGCACTGATCTTATGGAACTCAGGAATGATGAGATGGATCCAGGAAGGACATAAAACGAAATAGGATGTTGGAAACAAAAAAAAAAAAGCCAGCAGGAAAATAAAGGTTAAAGAGAAGATGAGGTAAGGGAAATAAAAGTCAAGATAAGTGTACTAGACAGTGTGCATAGAACAGAGAATAGAATCATGCGGGACAGGGACAGGGCAGCCAAAAAAGGAAAGGAAGGGAAGAATTCCTGAGAGATAAGCATTTTGGCAGTCTAGTATGGAATCAAAAATTGTCCAAAATCATGTCCTGAAGCATTTTCCAGGACCAAGTCTAGGACATGCAATTCTGTGAATCAAAGGAAATTTACAGAACACAGAAAAATGTGCTTGAGTACATCCAAAGCAATTCTGCCTCTGGAAAACTGCTGTGGAGGACAGACAATGCCCACGTTACAGACCAGCTCTGAGCTACCACTTACACTGCTGTGTCATTAAGAGTATTTTTGGATTGAGCAAACTTGAATGCAGATCATCAGTTTTCAGCAGAACTTCTCTATTTTCTTT